CTGTGACTGGCACTGACAAGGCAGGGCTCTGACTGCAATTGCTGGGACAGGAGAGCCAGCACCACATGCCCTTGTGATTCCCTGAGGGGGGTCAGGACCTAGAGAGCCTGAGGGTGCAACCTCTGCAGCTCCTGCGGCCATGGAGAGTGAGGGTCTGTGGGCAGCAGGTGCTTCTCACTTGTGGTTTCCTTCTTTCTAAAACTCCTCTCCAATCAGCCTTTTTCTGAACCAGCAGTTCCATGGGTGGCCAGGGAAGGCCTCTTCTGTGTCCCAGAAACACATAGGAAAATGTGATTAAAGGGTGTCAAAAGGCACCACTGGGAGTTGAACCCAGGATCTCCTGTTTACTAGACAGGTGCTTTAGCCAACTGAGCCATGGTGCCCTCCTTAGGAAGTCTGGTGAAACTGTTCTATTCCATGGTCCCAGACAACATCTTTGACTCCCAAAGTGCAGCCAATCCCCATTTCCCTCCAGCCCTGGGGGTGTCTGGCTCCCTAGGCACAGAAAGCTACAGCTCAGTCGGCAGAGGCTCTAACATGCTTATCTCCCCCAGCCGCTGGGGCTGTAGAGTGGCCTTTGAGATTTGGCCCAGATGTGGGGAGGGAGAAGTACAACAAACATTAATCAGCTGGCTTGTAAATCCCTTGGTCCTAGGGTTTGGGTTAGAGCCCCAATGAGGGGACCTGGCCTTCTTCAATTTGTTCCCTTCCTGAGGGCACAGAATTAACAAGAGAAAATTTCTTAACTCCACAGTAATCAAAGTTGGCCAAGGAGTTAGCAACAAACTTTTTGTCAACATTTAAGTAGAGGCAAGGAAACCCTCAGGGGTGTTTCTGTGAGTTTCTAGACCGAGGTTCATTCAAGTGGGTTTTTTTGTGTGTGGACCTGCCCCGACCGCACCCCTAGAGACTCTGGAACAAAAAGACACATAGGAAGAACCCAACTTTGCTGTGACATGGATGGATCTAGCTCAGGTTTTACTCAAGGGGTCCGTATGCATGTGAAGTACCTGTGTAGGGATAACATATAAATATATTAAAAATGATTCCCCCAAGTGGAAGTGACTCCCCATAATTTGTTCCCCACAACTTAAAGTGTTTAGATTTATTATTATTATTATTTGTTAAGATTGTTAAATGTTTAGATTAATAATTATTGCCCCCTCGAATATAATTTGTTAGGAATGTAATATTAGGTCATGTAACTTAAAACTGTTAAAAATATAATACTATGTAGCCAGAAACAGCTCCCCTCTCTGTGTCCCAGGGCACGCTCAAACTTATTGTTACACAATTGACACCCATTCTCTTCAAAGCATTGTGAAGCAATTAACCCTAATCGCCAAGTGAAACATTGTAACTGTAACAGTAACTCAGCACTCAGAGAGAGACTGTTTTAAGAAATGCCACCCAGAAACTTGTGACTTTTTGTAACTACAACTCTTGTACATGTAAAGTTATTATTATACAAAATACTGTATGGGAAACATTAATTAGGGAATGTATGTAAGAGAGAGAGAGTGCTTGGACGATGAATGAATGGTTTGAGAGGTGCCAGCCTGAGAATGCAGCAACAAAGGGCTGAAGTAGGCATCAGGTGCCAGTGCAACCAAAAGATGTCAAGTGGAGAAAACCAAGTACTGGAGGCCCACCCTATGAGATCATTGACGAGCACCTGGCAGCCACCCTGGACATCAGCATGATGCAGCGATCAAATAGCAATGCTATAGACTCAGTGGACCTGCACATCTGATCAGGACTTCGCTCCCCACTACCATCATTTGTGTACAGAATATTCTGTCATAAGCAACTTCCAGGCTGGTAACTATAACAAATACACAGAACCTGAAAGAATGGATGAATGATTGAATGAATGTTTATATATATATGGTGTGTATATATGTGTGTGTGTATATAAGTGTATAAGTGTTAAGTAGTGATAGGAATAAGTAGCTAAACAACATTGTTTGCTTCTATCTTTATTCTTTATTATTATCTCTACAATAAATGTAGCTTTTTGCCTTATCCCCCTCATAAGATCCTGCTTGATTTTATTGGTACCACACCTGTGACAGCACCTGGCTCCTCTGCCCCTCATCAGCAATGCCGTATACTTCAGGGAGCACGTGCTCCGAGACTTATAGAAGGGACAACCTGGACCAGCCACCCTTAGTTAGGCTCCCTTCGATAGCTCAGCTGGCAGAGTGGAGGACTATAGCGTGTGCTTGGTAAGTGATCCTTAAGTTGCTGGTTTAACTCTGGCTCGAAGGAGTGATTGTTTTCCCTCCGGCCTGGCCTTAGTAGAAGGCAATCAAGGTGATTGCCTTGGGTCCATGTCTTCAGAGCCCTCCACTTCAATTGACAGAAAGATTGTGGGTACGAGCTGCCAATCACATTTCCTGGGCTGCACAGGTTTTGTCCACACACAAAAGTTCTTTTGGAACAATGGCCGTTATTCCACAACAACAATGCAAGAGTCTACACCGGAACCGGCAGTTTCCCACCACGTCTCGCTTGAGAAGAGGCAACTTGTTCCCCTTCCTCTTACCTCACGTCTCCCTTGTCTCTGTTCCCTTCAAAGGTCTCTACTGCCTCGGGACCCGCTGCCCCTCTGCCACTGGGCTGGGAGTGGGAGACTCCACAGTCTCTGCACTTGGGCTGAGAAGTCTCACTGGGACTCGTCTGTTGATGGGTTAGTCAGCCCGATGGCCAGACGGATCCATTTTGTAGTGCTGCCCGAGAGGGAACTTTCCCAACCTCCATTGGAATTTCCAGGGGCTTTGTGTAGGGGGATTGGGCTTGGCCATCTTCTGTGCTGGAAATGCCTCTTCTTTGGTAAGCAGCTCCCAGGAGCTCATGGAACTTCTTCTTCTCAGCTGGGGAAAGGGACAAGCAAGGGGCGACGGGACAGGGGTTTATGTGATGATGACAGGGGTGCAGAAAGCAAATAAGAAATTATTTTTTGCCTACTTAAGAACCAGGGTGACAGAATGAAACTGGTAAGTAACAGAGTTGACATTAATAAGAACCTTTAATTCAGAACTACTCAACTTTGGAAGTCTCGGGGGCCACAATGAATGGCATTTAGCCAGGATGGACAGGGAAGGTGACCCTAGCTGGTGTATTCCAGGAGCTGGGAATGGAGGGATCACTTAATAACTGTCTGTCCTGAGGATTCCCTCAGGACAATGAAATTGGCTGCTGTTGTGAGACAGGATCTTGGGCTAGTTGGACAACTGACATTGCCCAGTCTGGCTGTTCTGATGTTCTGTTTGGCTGTTCTTGTCCCCTCTGGGCAACGGAGAATGGACCCTCCCCCCATCCTGAAGTGGACAGAAAATAGCCTGTGAATGGCTAGTGTAAGTGAACAACGTAGCCTGTTCCTGATGGTTTAGTGGTTAGGATCCAGTACGTTCACTGCTGTGGCCTGAGTTCAATTCCCAATCAAGGAAGCTATCGTCAACTTTCACATAACTGCTCCCTAGTCATTTTTCTCACCACATGTTACAGCAGCTGTGATCCAACAGGTTCACTCAGGGCCCCTTTCCCACCTCTCCCTCGCTGCTAAGACAACACTTGCCATTTTCAGAAGGGGCTGAACTGGGTGACTCAAACTGCCCCTACCCTCTCCTGCATGGGCAGCTACAGGAAGCTCCCTGGTGCATACAGCACTAGCCCAGCGCAGTGTTCAGTTTTGCTGTTGAAGGAGACAACACAGAACTGGCTCCAGCCCCCACTCAGTAACCTGGAGAAATGACCCACCAGGCCTGGGCCCCTCGGAGAGGCAACGATTCTCTACTGGCCAGGGCAGAGCCTCCCTCTGACACAGTCATGGAGCCTTCTCCC